CATCTAGTCGAATGTGTCGGCCTGGCATAGACAAATATTATAGGACTTTCACAAACAACGTAATTTGCTAGTAAATATACGCGTTCTGGCGTAGATTTATCGTTACCACTTCTTTTGCATATTAAACTAGTTTAAATTATAAACGTACGTATTTTCGTTGTTCTGTAAAAGAAAGACACTTTCCATGAAATGAACATATAAATATGTATGTACATATGTTCCTAAATCATATGCAAGCAGTACAGAATAAGAAATAAATGAGGTAATAGTTATGAAGCATTATTCATGAAATTATACCAAGCATCTGAAATCATTATAAGATTAATTACGATAATCATAATACTGTATAAACATGACAAATTGCGAAAAACTTGCAAAAGTTAAAAGTAAACATATTTTACATAATCTGCGACAGTCTGTGACCACACTGTACCTTACTTCATGAGATTTGAACAGGTTGGACTTCTCCGCCTTCAAACGGAGCGACTTCAGTTTTTTCAGAATGGTTTTCAACGTGTCCTCACCATCTAATCCAAAGAAATCAAAGAAGACTTGTATTATCTAAGCTGTTTAAATCAGAAACGCAACACATCAATTTAATACCTGGTCGTGGGTCTTCACACGCTTGAAATTCTTCTCGATCGGTCCGTTCGGCTTCTAGAAGCTACCATGATAATGAAGAAGAAAAGCAACGATATAGCTCAACACGAAAAACATGAGGATAACAGGCCATTTGTCAGTTTATCGAACTACGTCGTTACAAGAATAGCCGAGAGCACATAAAAATTGACGAATGTTATTCGAACGATGAGAACAAAAATACATACTAGTGCCTGAGCAACATGATTACGCAAGTTTTTTACGGTGCTGACTATCGAGGGAGCAATAGGGATATGATTTCAGTCCACCTTCATGTATAGCTGGAGTCTTCATCCGTATAACCCAGAAGTAAACTAACTTTTTCTTGAAGGAAGTAAATGAAATGACTGAAAATATCGTCAACTTCTTCCACTGCATACACCAATGGTGACTTGTAATACTCGAGCTGCGCTTGTAACTGAATCTCCATCTTTTAGGTACAACTGCGTTAAAGGCGTAAAAAGCCGCAAAGTTTATTACCGATGGTACCGCGGTTTGAGTAGGCCTTTACAGAGACGACAGCTAATCATGAATATACATTTCGTTGTATGACGAGTAAACACTTTTCAATTTCGGACATGGTTTGCGGTATGTAGTTGAAGCAATCAACGATAGATGCAACAGAGGCCATATTCTGTTCATCATTCCATTGAATAAGCATTATCAGATGAGTGAAGGCGTTCGCATCAGACAGCATGGCCACATCTCTCGCCCATTTTGATATGGTCGCATCGGAACATCATTCTGTCCCAGTTGTTCGCAAATTAGCAATTTTCTACTCCCTGGTTGCACCGAAGCACTGTGAGGCTAATTCCTTGCTCAAGAGATTAAGCGGTTAAAACAGGTTTTGCCCTTCTAAACCTCGAACCAGGCACTACGGGAATTCGAAGCAGACCTCTTTACCATTATGCCATCGCGTCCATATTTCACAACTAACTCGTACACCTGATGGTTGTTTCATCCTGCCCAACTAGCGGAGGCACAAAATTGTGAACGCCATGCTGCGAGTTCAGTAATATTGATTAACAGAAGCATAAAACAGCACAATTCATGTGCATAATTAAGGTAAATGCGTGTTCCCTCTAAGGAACGGTGGCTTGACCATAAAGGAATTTATACATAGTTTCGATCACTTTGATATATTCTACATTTCATGATAAAAAGGTAGCCGACCGAGCGTACTGAAGTACTGAAGCAATATTGCACGTGTCAACGAGTCCTGTTGATATCAGATTTCAGCCGAGTCCAATGTAGCGGCCACTGAATACCTTCGACCACAACATGAAGAAGAATTAAAAGATCATTTGCATAAAGATCATAAAATCGTCTCCTAAGTCGGTCATTAGATGGGTAAAAAGGCAATGCAACATCAGAGCTAGCGGATCACACAACATAAAAGTAGTTCTCACAAGTTCTGATACGACAATCTCAAACACCATGCTGCTCGAATTGATTTACAGAGAAATCACTTGACACCCATGTTTCGACCGATCACGCTGGAAAACAACCGGAAAATCTTTTGTTAATGCGAATTAAGGCCCAGTAAGAACAATTCAACCTAAATTTGAATTAGCGTCACTGCTAGGCAAAGCCAGGCAACCCGTCTGTCTCATGGACCACTGTCTTTTGTTCAAATGTGATCCTAATATCAAGTATCCCATGTCTTTAAATGAATTTCTAACATTCCGCGGTTATCGACACCGCATCCGCCGGATAGCGAGTGAATGACGTTTCTGCTATAGTTCTGATCAACGTTTTGGCCGAGCAACATCACCCATTACGCTCCTGATGGACTGATTGCGTGCCAGTTTCACTTCCATCTTACTCGCCCACACAGCGGCCACTGTTATTGAAATGAAGACCTAAATCGTCTGCCACTGGCTACGTTAACAAATGCCGAATTCTAGAAACCCATCAGATAACTCTGCTTCTATTTATTCTATTTTCGATTGCTTCAACAGATTGGAAGAAGATGAACCTAAAATTCAATGGCATCAACATGCACGGCTTTTACAATGTAAATGTATTTTGAACTGCAGTAATTTTCTCCATGGATACTTAAGATCACAATGACGCGGTATCACAGGATCTTCGACCATCAAATTGAGTCGATATTAAACACTAATTTATAGATATTTAACCAAGGAACTAAGGAATGACCTTTACTGCATCGATTCGAAATCCATACATGGCCGTTGAACTTTCATTTTCTCGAAACTGGAAAGAAAGCATATAAGCAACTGGACGAACAGTAAACGAATTTTTCATACTTGCATATATCTAAGTTTTGTTATGCTTTCTTCTGCTTTTTCTTCGACAGTTGGTTCCTCGGGATCGAGACTGATCATTTTCTTGTACAAATCGTGTCGTTTCATTGGATTGGTGACTTCTGATTCCAAAAATGTCCTCGTTCCCATTTTTATATCCATTATAGCAGGGTTGCTAAAACGCTGGGTGAGATCTTCGATTTCAATAAAAACTAAAATACGTGCAAACTTATAAGTACAGCCAAATTTTACAAAATTCAGTAAAAGTGAAAAATTGCATTTTACGCGCAGCCAAACTAAGAACAAAAGCTTCTAATGCACACTTCTGAATTTTCAGGCAATCGGTAAAGGCTCTGAGCGATTCTACATCGCAGTACAAGCAGAAAAGTTTCAAGTGGCCGACTTCACACCTCACTCACTGTATTGATTTCAGTCATAAAATCGTCAAGTACCGAGATTAAATATTACAGATCATTTAACTATCAATGTTTCACTGAACGATAGATAATAACGATTTAGTCAAACGGTCAATCTTTCAAGCACTGTTGATCTTTCGGTAAATGGGACGACAACTCATGGAGGGAGGCTATTAGAGCGATCTACGCCAAGAGAACATGGCAACTCGAGAAAATTCCAAGATACAACCGAAAGATATTATTAATATAAGGTGATTATTTTGCATTGGGTCCTCTCCTAGGCCACAAATTATGTGGCGTAAGAAAAATCAAACCTTTTAGGTATCTCTTATGACAACACGATTACGTGCTCAGACATGGCTCCTTGATTTAAGGAGAAAACGAGTTACAAATGAGTGCGCCTTGGAATCCACAGTTTCAAAACCTAACGAGTTGCATCATGTCAACAACCTGTCAAACCAGATGAACGTTGGTTTAGGATTTCGAACTTCCTCGATCGAGTCGATAGATAAATTACTTGGTTAGTGGCGGAGACGAAGGACAAAGAATACTAAATTAACATAAACTAGTACTCATAGCGAACCCATAACTGTGGCAAATAGAGTAACAGACATCGGACAACGTTCGCAATCAATGCAGTCTGTTGAATGAATAGACTAGTGAATAGTTATAGCTAGAATAAATGAGTACGTTGAGTAGCAACTTTCAGATTTCTTCTTAGTTATTAGACAGTTGTTCGTTGGATTACTGTACTGGTTTTGAGTGCCTATTTGTCATGCTGAAAGTCAGCCGAGAACCTCATCCAGAGATAGTAAAACCTGCAGTGTGCCTTGAAAGGACTGCTTTAGGCTGAAGAACGCGAGAAGCATGCTGCCCCGCAGGTATACTTCTAAGGTAGGCTTCGCTCAGACCGATTTTCATAAGAACCGCATTTTTTGGCTGCATAGTTATCAGAAACGTGCCGTTGATCTGAAAAGATCATCCAGAAAAGTCAATCAAATGAACGGATATTCTCAACTGAGACATACTCAATTTCTCATCTGCTATGCTTTCCGAAATTAGTAAAGTTGCCACCTTTTTTGACATATTTGCCGCGTTTTCCGAGACCTCGTAAAGGTAAGACACGCCGTGCTACGATCTGAGAGAACAACAACATATTTGTCGTGGCGCATGCTCTCTGCCGTCGCTGGGTACGTTTGCCCAAGATTCGTTCATAAACTTTATCAGAAAGGCCAGTTATGGAAATATCGAAGTCTCCGACAGTTTTCAAAAGTGGTGACGCCAGCAAGGCTTGATTCTGCCGTGCTATCGCTTGAGAACTTGACGAAGGCCAACTTACACTGGTCAGTCAAATAATGTCACTGATTTCAGACCATTATCATCAACGGTTGGATTCGATATTCCCCAGCAGCGATGTCATTTTAATAAGTGTTTTCATTTCGGGACCTTTTGAGACCATGTGACTAATTTTCGTCATAAAATACACGATTTTCGTCAAAATAACAGCAAAATCACAAAGAGTGATGACCGCCATCATGAGAATTTTGGTTACGGCTTTTCTCGTAAAATTGCAATAATCCGGTTTCCATCGCGGTTTCCTACCTTAAATAAAACTACTTTCGTATCGCTGACAATAAAGGTAACGCGATCATGCGATTTCTGATACAAAAAACATGCGCGTCGTCGATACGACTATAAATACACTAAATAGATGATTTTCTGCAAAGGGTCAGGATTACAGTTTTGGCATTTATTCTCCATAATATTCGTATCCGTAGAGGTAGGGCAAATAACAGCGACAATACAATGCAAATGATAAAAAAGGAACGACCAGAGGCTAAATGCAGCACTAATACACAGGCAAAAACTATCTATTCAGCTCAGGGTCGTTGCTCTTGTTGTTGATATACTTCGCGTCGTAAGAACGAGGAATGCCTTATCATTGATAAGCGGTGAGCAATCGTACAGACGAGTTAACAACAGATTAGATACACAATCCATCCTCTCCCACCCAATGCATTTTTCCCATCTCCCGGCTATTCTGCCAAACACTTATGTTCTATCTGTGTATCTACATCGAAGAAGATTATTTTAACGATAGAACATTCCCTTCAATAGACATCAGTTAGAACCGATTATGCAATCACATATATAAAAAAATACATCCCGGTCGTATGCTTCCTACCAAACTGCTAGCTTTCAATACTGCCGGGTAACATTCTCTTGTTAATCCTGCGGATTTACACAGCGAAACACGATACCACTGCTTCTAGTAGTCTAGGGAGCAGTTCAAGCAAGTCATAGCTCAATGGTATTTTAGCACCTGAAGTGTGTGGGCGCAAAACAGTACATCACGGTAGCTGTTTGGCAGCAAAATCACAATAACAGAGTTTATTTTTGATGTATATTTGTTTGTGTTCGAACATGCCTTTTTCAGCTAGCTAAGTGGTGCTATTTTATGTTCATGCACTGCAGGTGCTAAAAAAACTATTGCGCAGTAGCGACTAAACCGCGTAAATCTGAAGGACTGAGAGGAGAGCGGCATTACATATACATTATGTAATACTGACTATACCGTTAAAATAAATAATTTGATCATAATGTGAAGATGAACCTGGCAAAAGAATTTTTACCTTCGCCTTTATATTCGACCTCCCGATAGAATTTCGGCGTAAAGGAGCAGAGAATATCTTTCGAGATCTGCAAATAGATGTTCGTCTCATTGTCGTTGCCCGACCGCTTTTTCCATAGTGTGCGATCAGAAGCGGGGACAATGGTGCCTGCAAGCAGTAAATAAATTATTTAAAGGACCAACGCAAAATTAATGGTTAATTTCGTAAAACACTCAACCTTTACGAGGAAAAGTTTTAAAGTAAAGTTTTTGAAAATTTCGAGTGATCCATCCAACACAGCATAAGAATTCCAGTCAAACATCGTGTCTTCGCATTATTAGCCGATTGATTATTCGCCTTTCATGCTTTTAAAACTAGCTTCAGTATGTGACAAGAAACAGCAAGCCACACACCTCAATACCCGCCTGGCAATGACATATAAAATCTGGAACAAGGTTGTAGGTTGGATGGCATTCAAATGGAGTTCACTGCAAGTTCTGACAGAGGAAAGCTAAAACGGTATCCATCGGGAAAGTGCGAAGGAGGTCGACATCCTAGAGGCTACAAACTATTTTTTTTTCTTTTGTTACTCACACGAACTTGCTACCCTTGTCGTCTACCGTGGCATTTAAATTCAGATCAATGGCTTTAAACTTGCTCTTTAGTCAGCTACCTGGTGAGTCAAATGAATGGCAGTCACAAAGCGCACGTGTCAGATAGCACAGCGATTTATTTCTCGATCTACAACGAAACTAACGCGATACATTGCAAATTTCAAAGTCAGCAAAATGTACGTTTACTTGATGAATTAACTACTCTCAAAAACTTGATCTGTACCTTTGAAAATGGTTTCTTCAAAGCAAACTTTTTTCTTCATTACGGCAATTCATTATGGGATTTGCCGTAAGATTACGATTCGAAACCTAGTTGTATGATTTGCACTTCATCCGGTTGAGATAGACAAACGAATAGACAGGGGACAGAGAGTTATGATTACTTTGATCGATTGATAATCGGCTATGATTCGCACCGGTCGAAAAACAGACGTTACATCACTTTGAAAAATTAAGGTACTTGTGGCAGATGCAATCGAGATCAGATTAACGTCGCATCTTAAGGAGCAGCAAAATGCAAAGTACAGGCGATTTTCACATACTTACGGTGGAGAACTAGTTAACTGTGGGAGCTCTCAAACGCAGGTGTGTCGCTGCTTTGCATGACAATCATCCAAAAAGTTCTTTTAGCAGGAATAACATAAACGGCAGTGAACAATCAGGAGTCGGATTAACATGCGGAAGCATCGACAGCCGCGACCCTGTCTGACGTACGAGTAAAGTTTGTTTCGTTCGTTCAGCATGACAGCAATCACAGATTTCAAGACTACAATTACACTGTTGGCAACATTCACATTCAAAACGCGAGTTTGTCAGTTTCTTTTACGATATGTTCATAGTGTAATGGTTCACATCAGCACACTATATTAGGATTTCAAATATGATCTGACCGATATCGTTTCTGAACCATTTATGTTAACATAAGCAAAGCTTTTGGAAGACAGCGTTTTCAGACTTACTCTCTAGTAGGTTTTGTAGTCGATTATCGAAACTATTCATCCGTAAGCATTGTTTGCAGAATGGATAGTAATGACAAGTCAAATTCTGTTTGTTTTGAAACATCCCATTGTAGACAAATTACTTAGATTCTTAAGAAGAATCGATCTTCATAATCTTCAAACGATTGATATCGCATATTTATTTTATCAAAAGTCAAACTGAGCTGAATACCCTGGATCTGCGGCGAAGATTATGTAACAGAAAATACAATGGAGGATATAAGAAATGCCCCGATGCATGTTCCGGATGACGATTAATTTGGATCACCTGGATCTGCGGCGACGAACAGCGCCGGTCACAACACTTTGTGTTGTCATAGCGCATGAAATTTTATCACCCACTGCCCTGAGAAACTACGTAGAAGCGGGTTTCCACAATTACGTTCAATTAATTATGTTTAAGTTTTCTCTTCTAGTCTGTGACGAACCGACGTCTAACCTCAATTAGTGAGGTGAAATTAATAATTGGTCTTGCTGCTTCACGCGCACCTGAGTTGCGGATAGACGGGTGGCGTCCAGATATAAAGGTTATATGCGACAAACAAACACTTAAAGACACGCAACAGCAAGGCCACCAGGAAGCGGCCAGATTCTAGCTCGACAAGTGTGATCCTCAGGGAAAAAGTCACGATGTGCAATGACTCTTATGACCAACAAACAGAGAACCGCCCTTGAAAAAACACCCATCTAATTCTCTATGTTACTAACCTGAACCCAGAAAAAACCTACAATAATAAACTTGTTTCACATCGATGAATCGACTTATGATTCTTGTCGAGATCAACTTGATATGACATAATTTTACCCACGCAGATTCACCGTTGAAATATCAACAGTTTGCCCAACTGTCCCAGGTTAAGTTAGCTCACACGCACAATTTCCTTATAAAATTCAATTGAGTGCTTGAAAAGTGGGTTCGCTGGATAAATGAGCATTTACCACCCATGGCACTGCTGTTCGCCGATCACCAAGTGAGTCATCTTTCCAAGGACACGGTTCTCGAACGAACTTACAATTTTTGTAACACTTCCATCGAGACCAATTTATTCATCAAGTTCAAAAACAAGCCAGAATTGCAGAAAAAACCTGTCAGATAAAAACCAGTCAAACTCTATCTTATATGATGTCAAAGTAGTACCGCGTATTAAGCATCATGACCAATTTACAAGTATTCTCCTTGCCTTGTTCATACTCTCGAACAGTTCTTGCACATGTCCTTTTAGTAAAACTTTATCCTCGCATAGCAAATTTTAGAACCAGTCAATTTACTTCAAGGCACTATCAAGAAAGGATAAACATCTGACCATTTCTTTCCAGCACCTCACTTTTGTGACTGTAGATAATCAGAACCCATTGCGGACAAATAACGTACCTGAGAAATAAAAACAGCAACAAGAGAATATTTGCACATGTTATACGAAAACAATATGACTTGACTCATTCGAACATCGGGTATCGATCATTACTGAAAGTCCGCCGGAACGCCTCAAATTTGTACAATGGGCGGATATTATGACCACACACAATATTTAGGTACAGATGCGTTTCATCACATGCAAAGTGCATCGCCAGGTATATCAAACTAAGCCAGTAAAAAATGTCATCGAGAATCAAGTCCCATACATCGCAGGAAGGATTTTGTTTAGATAAATCGTTTTGTCAATTTAATTGCTGCAGTCACTCTCTGCAAGTGAAAGAATATTCACCGTCATAAAATGCACTACAGGAATCGCTAAGAATTTTAGAAACCGCATTAAGCATATCTCGAATGATCTCTGTCCATCGTCGTAGGAAATCTACTTCGTCAAAAACCCTTCTGCTATGACCTTTCAAAGCTCAAGCGACAACTAATCTTCGTGTCTGCGGACGGCAGTAAATCGGTCAGAATCATTTTCTTGCTGATCCGCAATCAGTCTGTCTCGAAACGATTCTCATAGCTTTGCGTTCGCAGGATTCAGTACATCCCTGATATGCATCGAATGCGGAAGAACACGATCACTTGTTTTCAAGGAAAGCCTAAATAACCGCACATTTTTGCTACTGGGGGGGGGTGGGCGAAATATCTAATTTCTACTAAACTAGACTTGCCGTTAAAACATCTAGCATTTCAGCCCACCAAAAAATGCAGTTGAAGCATCTACTTTCTTTCGATGTCTGATGCTTGATTGGCTAGAGGCAAACTATCGCTAACACATGGCCATCCTTCACGGCTTCACATTTTGTTCAAGACACAAATTTGAGTATACATTGATTCTGAAAGCAGACATTTGCAGAGCATCCAGGTTGTGATCCAGCAAAATCTCTGCTTCTCGCTTTACCTCAGTACGCGAAACTACCTAAAACAAATTCCTTAAAAAATGACTGATTTCATAAGTGACGTCTATT